ACGTGTCCAAGTGAGTAGATGACACAGTAAAGCAAAAAAACAGATGTCATAATGTGGACTATCCCACGTCACGCGCGCTATATATCAGTTTTACTCTACAGAAAACATATTCTTAACCAAACTATTGTAATGCGTTTCGATTCGTATAGTGAACGAAGAAAAAATAAAACTCGTGTGTATAGAGTATGACTTCATGAAAGAAAACCACATCTTTTTTTCTCTTGGTATAAAAAAATAAAAAATATTTCTCACGTCATTTCATAATTTGAAGTGCTGAAAAAAACAAGTTTTATTATTCTTTCACACACATGTCTGTCTGTAGAGTAGTAGCAGAAACATTACAATAGTTAGTTCTCAACGACAACTTCACTAATATACTCAATGTGTTCACGACAAATACCGATGCTTGTACTACTCTTTGCTATGATACACTTATGTCGACAACAATGTAAGCAAGAATTATTGAAGGTAAGTAATACAAAGACTGTACGTATCCCAGAGTCATATAGATCTCCTCTCTCAATTAGAATAAAGACACTGCATAAAAAGAAACGTTCGATGACACGCCCAACAACTTTAGCGTTACCCGACACTTCTGAAAAGCAGTCTGTGACCAACAAAAAGGAAGATACCTATGAAACAGCCATAACAACATCCGAAACACCGGTTCCTACTTCTACAAAAAGCAATAAAAAGGATCAATCTATGGATTCTTCCCTTCAGTTCTCTGCATCAACGACGAACACAGTTGAAAGAACATCAGAGGATGAAAACAAAGAGACTGTAACACTCATCTGGTTTGATATTGACATCACTTCAGACGACGACACAAAGCGAACAATGGAAATCCTAAGGTACGCTAACAATTTTGTCCTTGTCTACACAGAGTTAGATTCCTGCATTGACCACGTCAGACATATTCAAAATGAAAAAGTATTTATTATCACATCCGGCAAATGTGCTATCCAACTTCTTCCTCATATCGAGACTCTACCTCAAATCGATTCTATTTTCATCTTCTGTATGGAACGAGACAAATACAAACATCTACCAGATAAATACTCCAAAATAATCGGACTCTTCACCTCACAAAAAGAACTGATCGACGCGATCAAAGAGAATGTTGAGATGGTTCAGAAACAGATGGAATCATTTAGCTTCTATACCCATCAAAAATCGATTCGTGATTTATCCAAAGAATCAGCCTCCTTTCTCTGGTTCCAGCTGTTCAAAGACCTCATCATGCAAATGCCATCTGATGATCATGGCAAACTACATATGATTCAGAAGTGTCAAGAATACTATCGAGGTAACAGGAAAGAATTGAAACTCATTCAAGAGTTTGATGAGACCTACCGACGAGATGATGCCATTCGATGGTATACAAAACAGTCATTTGTTTATAAACTCATCAACAAAGCTCTACGAACAGAAGATATTGAACAGCTCTACCTGTTTCGATTCTTCATCGTTGATCTTTGTTCATGTCTTGCACAAGAATATGAAAAGATGAAACAGCGAGAGAAGAATGTGCTCCGAGTCTATCGTGGTGTCAGGTTATCGAGCGACGAATTTGAGAAGCTGAAAGAGAACGAAGGTAAACTGATTTCCACCAATGGCTTTCTCTCCACCAGTCGTTGTCGTGCATTAGCTTCACATTTTGCTGGTGAATCAACAAAGCAAGGAAGTGCTGTTAGTGTTTTGTTTGAGATCGAATGTGATTTGATCGGCTTGAATGATGTGATTGTAGTAGCTGACATTGCTCAGTTCAGCGGTTTTACTGATGAGGAGGAAGTGCTCTTTGACTTAGCAGCAACATTCAAGATTCTGTCTATTCATCGAACAGAGTTGAACGTTTATGTCGTAAAAATGACAGCGACAGGTAGCGGAAGAGAGTTTGCACACCAATATATTGCTCTGAATAGGAAAGAGCTCGAGCTCGAAGAGAGGAGTGTAGTTGTGATGTTCGGTTCACTTCTCTGTGGCCTGGGACAATACAAGAAATCGCAGAAATACTTTCAGAACCTGCAGCAAAACCCTGAAGCAGAGGATATTGCTCAAATTCAACTTGGTCTCGGACACGCTTATGCCTCCGACGGAGAGTACACTAAAGCCCTAACACTGCATGAATGCGCTTACGACATCATGATGAGCACCAGCACAGTACGTGTTAAAGAATCAGCCAGAGTGCTGAATAATATTGGTGCTGTTTATTTTCACAAAGGCGAGTATGATCGTGCTTTGGAGTTTTATGAGAGAAGTCTGAAGATAAGAGAGAAATGTTTGCCAGCACATCATCCGGATATTGCTACGAGCCTCAATAATATTGGTGCTGTTCACTGTCTTAAAGGCGTGTATGATCGCGCTCTGGAATATTCTGAGAGAAGTCTGAAGATACGGGAGAAATGTTTGCCAGCCGATCATGCCGATATTGCTAAAAGTCTGAATAATATTGCTGGTATTTATTTTCGTAAAGGCGAGTATGATCGTGCTTTGAAATATTATGAGAGAAGTGTGAAGATAAACGAGAAATGTTTCGCAGCTGATCATCCGAATATTGCTATGAGTCTGAATAATATTGCTGGTATTCATAAAGGCGAGTATGATCGCGCTCTGGAATATTCTGAGAGAAGTCTGAAGATACGGGAGAAATGTTTGCCAGCCGATCATACAGATACCGCGAAAAGTCTGAATAGTATTGCCGATATTTGTTCTCATAAAGGGGAGTATGTAAATCAGTCACTATACAATTGATCGATTTTAACAGCTCTGTTCCTATTATTCGCTGCAGTTTTGATGATCAACATTTTCGCCAACAACAGTTTTGCTCCATCTTGCTTTGCTATCCCACAATGTTTGGCAAGTTTTATAAATGTCCGACATACTTAACTTTTTGATCAGTAATCCTTGATTTCTGACTCTCTAAAGCATTTGTATTTAAAATTAATATCATCTGTCGATTCAGTTTTTCATCCTGATTCCACATATCATATTTATTTTGAATGAGTAAGTATTATTCTATAGATTTTCGCCAAAATCAATTTGATGGCGAGATGGGAAATTACACACTAATACAAGGGAATCACAGACATGTAAAATGCATCGATCAAAAAAGTGTATTCGATTTATTTATTCATCTTATATATGAAAATATGCGCAATTAAACGAGCTTTAAAATGATTTATAGCACATCTTTCCAAACTAAAACCTAGATGCTACAACATCTTTGAAGCTGTTGCATTGGTGTATAAAAGAACCATCTGGAATGAATTAGAAAATGTATCTCTCATATAATTACTATCTTCATACAGTTATTGGTCAAACATTGTCTATAACTATTTGCTTCCCGTACATGTAACCCTCATTGGATATAATAAGAAATGGATATAGTTTTGTCAGCGCACTCAGACTCGAAATGATTCATACACAGAAAAATATAGAATTGAAAGGGCAACCGAATGAGCTATAACGCATTATTTTAAAAGTTTGCCTTCGATTGGACAAATACTTGACAGGTATCTCGACGTTTTTCCAATAGTGGCATAGAAAAATGATTATAGTTTCTTGTACAGACAGATAGTAGGCATTTCAATTCTATCTTTTTTGGGGAAGCAAATAGTTATAGATAATGTTTGACCAATAACTCTATGAAGATAGTGACTACATGAGAGATACATTTCCTAATTCATTCCAAATGGTTCTTTTATATATCAATGTAACAGCTTCAAAGATGTTGTAGCATCTAGGCCCGTTTTAGTTTGGAAAGATGTGCTATAAATCATTTTAAAGCTCGTTTAATTGCGCATGTTTTCATATATAAGATTCTGTTGAGAACATCGAACTCGCCGAGAAGAATGAATAAATACCATCGAATAGACTTTTCTGATAGATGCTCAAAAATGATTAAAAATTTCAGCATATGGTAGTTTACAATCAAATTTTAAGGCACAGAAATATTAAAAACTAAATAATGAACGGATTCTAATCAGTCGTTACCTTCTCAAAAACAAGGCCATTTTCTTGCAGAAACTGTTCTCCTGTCCTTTTCGATCAGGTTGGACTTGCAATTACCACGATAGATTTCGGACAGGTGAAGGGTCTTAAAGTAAGTCAGTTATTCTTGCGATTGTGGAATAAGCGTACCACGTACTGAATATGTTTACACGTATTGTACTTTTGTTTTTCTTCTTCAATGCAGCTAAATGCCGCTAAGAAGATGCGATATGTAATTCAAATGCAACATACAGTTTTGTTTTTTCAATGATTATTGTAATAAAACAAACAAATAAACAATCAAAAAAATAGAACTTGTGTTTTAACAAAGAGAGGTGAAAAGTTGACCTATTACTTGTATAATACTGGTCGAACAATCCGTGTTTGTATGAGTAGGGGAAAAAGATGAATGTATTGGTATTCGTCTATAATGTGTTGTAGTCGGCTTTTCTCCGATACAACGAAATGGCAAATATAAATGCTAATAATTCCACCACTAAAATGACAACGGCTCCAATAATCACAGAATTTTTATACGTTGCAATTAATGTCATCAATTTGTCATAACAGCCTTGTGTGTATACGGAACCCTGATCATACGTGGCACATCTTTCAGCTTGACGCAGTTGATCTAACGGTAATTCATTCCAACTGCCTTGAGCTACGATAGGACAACACGTTAGAGGATAAGTGAACTGAGGTAAAGAGGAATTGTATGGATTGGTACGATTCCAAACTGTTGCACTGTTGAAATCAGTTTTACTCACTGCTCCACAACATTTCATATTGTATTGAATCAAATCCCATGATAACGATACTGCTCCTGGATTTGATCCTGGCGTAATAGGTGGCCCAGCATATGTATTATTAATTAACAATTGCAACTTTGGTATTAATTGCTCTTTAAACTTTGATTGAAATGAAACGAAATAAATTGTAATGCCAATTTCAGCCACAATAATAATACCAATAATAGTCGCATAGAGCACATGCATAAATTTAAACGATTTAATGGCACCACAGCAACCAAGAAAACCTACTAGAACCAAAAAACTACCGATAACAATGAGCGTAACGGCAAATATTTGGATATAGGATAAACCCTGTTGAATTCTATCATTGGTATAATCAAAATTAAACGTATGTCCCACTGTTTGTAATTTGGGATCGACCATCACATAAATACCAATTGCCAATAGTGCAACACCAATCAGAAAAAAGACGATATTAAACAAGAAGATGAGTAGACGAATAAATTTCATCCCCAAACTCATACCACCGCTACCTTCACCTTTTGCCATTGATTATTCTTCTGTAGATTGGTAAATCAACTATTGAACCTAAAAGAGTGAATGATAGAGTATAATCACAGATTCTTTCTATACCTAAAAAGATTAAATACCGAAAGACTTTATATAGACTTCATTTAAGAGAATTGTTCAACTATAAAATGACATCAGTCTTATTGAACAGATTGTCAAGTGAAAGCTATAGTTCAAAACTTATTAGACCATATCATGAGAACTAAGAAGAAGAGGAAAATGAAAAGGATTAGATCTCTCTATTTATGACTCAACTTTTTTCTACTGACAAGATAACGAAAAAGATTCATATATTACATGCTCTCTTTTTAATCTTTATGTGTACACATAAATTTATACAATAATGTATTTTAAAGCTGTATAACTAGATAAAAGGTGAGCAATTTCAATTAATATCTTACATGACCAAAAAGAAATAATGGAATATCGGATAGAAGAAAAGTACAATAATTATATTGTATTTTTTGATGAAAGAAGATTGTCAAACAAGATCTTTTGTGTCTATCTATTAAATTTATTTTATACTAGCCTACACGTCGTATATGATATATGTCAAACGAAGTCCTAATTTTTTTCAGAATAAAGTATCACAGAATAACTTGCCTTTTTGTGTTTTTTCTTAGCGATGTGACCGATTTTTAATAATGTCTTTCAGCACTGTTATTGCTGTTTGATTCAGTTTTATATACTTCACATATCAATAATTCTTATACAATTTATATGGAGGACGTACAATATAAAACATCTATATTTTCAACATATGTTGACCAAATTTCTTTTTTTTCTTTTTCGTCATCTATTCAAAAAAGTTAAAGTAAACAGAAAAAGAGGGAAGAAATTCAACCATTTAAAAAAAATGATTACGCACATACAATCTGGTGCCATTAATTATCATTACCATCATAAAATACAATGATAGAAACGGTAGGAAGAAATAAGAATAATTTTCTTTCTATTTATCAAAGAAAATAGAGTAGCTTGATAGAACATCTACTTTGTTCAAATAATACTTGAACACTTTTCTTTTCCGATAAATATTTTTAGCTCTTACAGAAAGAAAGATATACGGATGTTCTTTCAAAACGTTAAAAAAAAGCGATGAATGAAAAATAAGAATCAATTCTGATTTAGCTTAAATCAGAGTCAGAATTAGTTCGAAAGGAGCTGAAAATTACGTTTCAAAAAAAGGTTTTACCCTTCTTTTTTTTTGCTTCTCAGTTCACAGCTGCGTCAAATAACCAAAGAAGTACATTGGATAGTATTGATGGGGGGAGGTTGTAAGGGTGATTCAGCCTTTCAAACTGACAGCTGGTTAGTGTTAATTTTGTTTTAGAAAAACAGAAGTAAGAGTTGTTAGAAACATCTCACTGATTGCTTTTAATGTGATTTTTATGCAATAGACAACAGATATTAATATAAGCAAATTACAGAATTTCAAAGTTCAGCAGATGTTATTTTATTAATGTGAAACTCGACTTAAATTATTATATTTAGTAATTTTACAACCGCTATTTCTATTACTAGAGACTAAGACAGAATTCATTTCTGAAAGAATCGATGGAAGCCATAAAAAGCAGAGTTGCTCAGCACTTGTATACAAAGTGTTGAGCAACTCTGCTTTTTATGGCTTCCATTTGACCGGTCGTGGTATCTTCTTTTGATTCTTTCAGAAATGAATCCTGTCTGAGTCTCTAGTAACAGAAATAGCGGTTGTAAAATTACTAAATATAATAATTTAAGTCGAGTTTCACATTAATATAGATTTATTCTTCAATACCGCACAAAACTCGCATATAAAAATCGGAGAATTGTGACATAATGTTGTCTTTCACCACTGTGAACGAGCCTGACTAGTAAGAGGATGGGTGACCACTTCTGAAGATCAAACCATGCAGTATTATGGAGTTTGTCACTATAAAGTAGAGAATTGTGACGTAATGTCTTTCTCTACTGTGTCAAAACTACGATTAGTAAGAAGATGGGTGACCACTTCTCAAGATCGAGCCATAAGTATGGTGCTTTTCACATTTAACTCAACAGTTGTTGAGGGAAAGTTACCAGATACAGTTTAAGTTTAAAAGGATGAATCATTTCTGATAGAATGAAAAGAAATACTTAATGTAGAGAAGCAGAACATGTGCATTGTACAGTAATATCGTGCTTCGCTCTCGTCGTGTGAAAGTTATTGTTCTTTGTTCGATAAGAACAAGGAATAGTAACACCCTCATACGGTGTGCACGGAGTTTGTGTTGCTTGTCGTGTCTTAGCAGATGTTATTCTTTCCATGAGTTTACTATCTTTGGTAATAAATGACGAATTTGCGATATTTACTTATACAATGAAAGACGCCAAAAGTCAGATAAAGAGGCATATTTGTAACCGATTTCCATGACCGTTAAATAAGGTCTCAAAACTTAGTTTTCTACCTGAAATATTAAGAGTTTATTCTAATTTTTAATGTCTTGTTTGAATCGCGTAACAAAACTGTTTTGAATACTAAAAATTACACTTTATTGTATACAAAGTGCTGAGCAACTCTGCTTTTTATGGCTTCCAGCATATCTAGTGCTGTAGAAAAACGGCAAATATTTTTATTTAAAAAGGAATATATGACTAAAATCTAGGCAAAATTTTCTATCTTTTATAATCCAAACGAAATTTTTTTATCAAGCTTAACCTGAGAAAAAAGCGTTGCAAAGGCAATTTAATCTGGACTACCCGTTAGTGTTAATAAGTAAGACTTTTGTAGCCTAGAAAAAAACAATTCTTTTACTTAACACCGTGCACTACTATCTTACAATTTTTCAAAACCTAGTTATATATAGAGAATCAAAATACTAGACAGTTTGGTTTTTTCAGAAGCAACAGAAAACCTCGGTGCAGAAAAAGACGCCAAGTCGATTTGTCTTTAATCATTGACCTTATGACAGTTCGACACATCTCATATTGTTTTAGTTTGTCTCAATAACTTTTCCTTCTCGTCTAATATTGATACTATCCATCTCACTCATGCGAAATAGACTTTGTATTCTGCGTATGTTAAAGATTCATCTAGCGTAAGAAGATCATTCTTCAAATCCTTAACTTTTCTTATTCTGTTGAATATCAGACTTCAAAACGAAAAGTACATTGATAAATTAGACGGTTATTCAGCAAAACAAGTCACAGCTCGGTTTTATCAGCATATTACTTCCTTTCTTTTCATTCATCGTATTTTGTTTTTGGCTACAATAGAATCTCTTTGTACCGATTCTGTCTATAAGTACGACACTTTAAATAAAAAAATAATGCATTTGTTGAGAAAAGAACATCAGTGGATGGATATTACAAGCAAAAAGGCATACACTTTGGTGTGTCATCATTTGGTGTTGAGTGATTTAAACAAATATGAATATGTATCTATAGACCTTTAATCACATATATTTTGTCTATAAATACGACACTTTAAATAAAAAACTAATGCATTTGTTTGAGAATTCAACAAATTCGTAATATAATTTTATTCTAGAATGAGAATTTCGAATAGCATAAAATTCAGAAAATATTAGCTAATCACTTGAATAAGGTACACTTTTCCAGGAAAAAAAGAAATAGTTATGATTTTGATCCTCCAAATGAGACTTATTTGCATTGCTTTGGAATCAGAGTAAATGCAGCATATAGCACGAACTGTCGAAGCGGAAGGTGTTGGAGAAGTGCTGTCTGATCATCAGATGTTCAATACAGGTGTAACTACTGGACATTAAGGTTCATTTGGTGCTTCTCCATCACATTTGAAAGCTTTTCTAAAATCTTGTGACTTATAAGATCTTGAAGAGTTATATGATATGAAGTTGTATGATCTTGCAGCACTCACTGGTGTGTATCATGTTTAAATTTCTTGTCATAAGATGTTACAGGACCGTACAAGAACATATAAAATCTTGTTGTATTTGTATTTTCTTCTTAGGTGTTTGCAAGGCTGATGATTTAGTGTACTACAAATGCTGTGATATACAGTATAAGTATACAATATCGTTCTGATGAATAAACTTTCAAGTTTTCATTCTCCTGGTAACTTTACACTTCAGCTGAGTACGCTATACAGTGCACGGTTTATGAACATGGCTAAACATAATCTTGGACCGTCTGGAATCTACTGGTTCTAGAAAATATCAATTAAAGAAAAAACAGAGAAAGGGGGAGATGTTATAAAAAGCAGTCATTTCAATTTGGATATTAAGATGAATTTTTCATCTAAATCTTGTTCTTCTATGATCTTGTGAATTCTTGCAAGTGCATTAAATTCTTACACAAGATGTTGTACGATCGTGTGGAGGCTTGTAAGATAATATTTCAGGATTCTTTTCCCCAAACCTGGCAACTAACACAAAAAGTGCTGAGAACTCTCAAATAAACTCACTAAGAAGATACAGTGAGAACTATTTCATAATAGATAATTTAACGGCTCCAACATCAGGTACATATTTATCTGTAACTTGTTTGTGGTGAATAAAAAAAACTAAAATACTACCCAGGACGTCGAAACCCGTATATTAATTGTCTATTAAACACCGATTAATAATCCATCTAGTACCTGTTAAACGGACATTTTTAGACTATCGAGACAATTTTTCGACGGTTTTTATAGTTTAAACTGGGAACGTTTTAATGCCTAAAAGTGACAGTTTTTCTTACGATTCAAAAATGAGCTTTTGATGATGTCTCTTATGCTAAGCCTTTATTGACTAGTTAATGACTTATTTCTTGAATGTTTCTGAAGGTGGTTTCTTTCTGGCTGATAACTTCACAAAGACTGAATTTAACAGTTTTCAATAGTTTTTGGCTCCTTAAGGCTATGGTACTACCACTAGTATCAGTCCCAGAACTAAAGGCTGCTTCCTTGAGATAATTTTCGATGACTTGTATAATTGAAGACGAAAAAGAATTCTAAGTTTTTTCAAAAAAGTCTGCTTTATTTATAATATAATAGTCTTAAA